TCCACAAAAACTAAAAACTGTCTACTCTGGATTAGAGTCATTGTCATGAACGTTTATAACAAATATATATGAGACCAAAAAGTGAAAACATGTGTAAACAGATGTGATACAATCTAAAAAGCATCATATATACTAAAAGTATCAAGGGAGCAAAGGGAATTGTAGCATTCGCTATATCACTGAAAAGGCTCTATTCTGTAAAATAAAAGTTTATATCCATGGAATTCAGAATTATGTGTACTAGAATTGAAACAATAATTTAATATGAAAATATAATATTGTAGTTACATCACTATAAAGTACCCCATTATTTTCTGTATACTAAAATTATATTTAGTGTTCTGTGTAGTGTTTGATTTCAACAAAATACAATTTATAATAAAAAGCTGCCATCAATCTCAGAGTGAATTTCAAATAAATTCAAAAGGGTTTCTTTTTCCTATATATTTCTTTGAATGTGCTAAGAAATACAATTACAAATCTTACCTCTCTAAAGATTTCACTTAGAAATCCACAAATGCATGGCAGATAGAAGTCAAATAACAAGCAGTTTCAAATGAACTCTATAATTGCTAAGTGCTCTGCTTAGAGAAATGAAATATTACTCCAAATTAAAGTGGGCAGCAGGAAGTTTTAAATGGACTCTCATCCTTATTTTTCTTGACTATAGAAGAATAATTCTGCAAGGTAGCATAGTATAGTTATATAGTTAGCAGAGTATATTTCCTAGGCTACACAAAAAATGATACCAGTAGGTTTGCTTAGAAAAACAGTTTACCATTATAGTTAGTATTATCAATCATTATAAATTATATGATAATTATACTATAAATTATAAATAATTTTCTTCATGATTTAGTAACCTTTACCTTTAACTTTACCACTTCAAGAGCTAATGTGCTACTATCTAAAAAGACTTAATTTTTTTCAATATTATTCTTCACAGAAGAATGGTTAATTTTTAGGCATTTATGTAGATATTGGTCAGTTGTACTTAATATAATACATCAGAAAATTCATGTGAGAATTAAAATACTTAGGTATATTAATAATAACATTTGATTTACTTTAGTTTAATACTTTTGGGACCCCTAATGGCATAGTGGTTACATATTGCCCTGCTAACCTCAGCAGTTCGAAACCACTGATGAGGCTTTCTACTCCTGTAAAAAATTCCAGTCTCAGACACCCACAGAAGCACTTCTCCCCTGTCTTGTAGAGTCGTGATGAGTCAGAATCAACTTAATGGCAGTGAATTTGGTTTTGGGTTTGGTATAATGCTTTCAATTGTGTGGATACTAACAAATTATGGTTAACATATGAATTGAGTGCACTTGTGCTCATGCAGAGCCTGTGCATAGGTAGGTAGTCATTTGAACAGAACAAGGAGATATTGTATGGTTTAAAATTAAGAAAGGTTCCAGCAGGTTTGTATTATTTTTCCATATTTATTCACTCTGTATGCAGACTGTATACAGACTAAATGAAGAAGAGTGCTGCATCAGGATTGGTGGAAGGTTTACTAAAACCCTACCATATGCACATGGCATAACCTTGCTTGCGGAAAGCAAAGAAAACTTGAAGCACTTACTGATGAAGACCAAAGTTTACAGCCTTCAGTATGGATTACAGCTCAATATAAAAATTTAAAAATAATCAACAAAATGGAACCAATAAGCAATGTTGTCAATGATAGCAAATACTGAAGTTGTCAGGATTTTTTTTAAACTTGGATCTATAACCAGTGCCCATGGACGCGGCAGTCAAGAAATCACATGTTGTAGTACATTAGGCAAATCTTCTTAATGTCTTTAAAGTGTTAAAAGGCAAATGTCACTTTGAAGACGAAGGTATACCTGATTCAAGCCAGGGAATTTTAAATTACCTCATATGCATGTAAAAGTTTGACCGTGACTAAGTAAGACTGAAAAAGGATTGATATCCTTGAATTATGGTATTGGTGAAGTATATTGACTATGACATGAACTGTACAAAAAGTAACAAATCCTTGTTGCAAAATGTATAGGCAGAATGGTTCTTAGAAGTGAGGATGGCAAGATTTCAGCTCACTTACTTTGGACATATCAGGAGCCACCAGGCCCTGAAGAAGGACATCACACATGGTAAAGTAGAGGGGCAGTATAAAAGAGAAATCCCTCCACGAGATGGATTGACAGTGCTGCCACAATCGGCTTGCTGTTGAGAATGGCACAGAACCAGACAGGGTTTCCTTCTGATGCAGAGTCACTCTGAATTGACATCTACTGAAAGTTAACTAGCAACAACATAACAAAGATGGTTAGAGTGTTTTTATTTATGTGTTTGCTTATTTAGTTAGTTAGCTTAACCTACAGGACTATAACGTCAAATCATAAGGATATTTTTCTACTTGAATTTTGCTATCTTATAAAATCAAAACATTGCTAAATAAATATGGTTCCAAACATATTTCCAAGTTGTAGTCAATGCTCTCTATATTTTGAAGTGAAGTCATTTATGCCATTGTCTCTTTTTCATTCTGGCAGAGACTACTAAGAAGGTTACCTCACGTGTATTATCAATAATTTAGCACAATAAAAGTTTATAAAAGAATTAATACTTAGAAGCAACATTATTTGTTAAGTATAAGCAAATAACATTGTTTACATTTTAAGATACTTATTTTGATTTGCATTGTTAAATTTACAGCTTTTTAAATAATAAAATACTGAGGGTTCAACTCTTCTAAAAGTAAATTTTAATTAAAGTTTTTTTATCTTAGTCAGTTTTTGTCTAATTCAATAGATTTTCCTTCAAATTTGAGTTAGTTATACCGAGTGTAATTGTTTTGTTTTTTTTCCATCACTTCTTCAAATGTCAGTGTTAGAACCATCTGCAAATTCTTTTTCTTATGGTGGATAACACACCAGAAGTATCAAGGACTTAATTACCTGCTTCAATGATTTATATCCATTTGAATCTCAGGCACCATGCCCAAGCACAACTATATATTTCATGTGATATATGTGTATTATAAATGCAAATCGTTCTTCTTGCTTTTGTGTATCTATGAGTATCTTTGACTCCAGACAACCAACCAACTCCTTGAAAATATCAAATTAAAATTTCTAAAGTAACATGTAGAGCAAGCAAGTAAAACAATCAACAGCTTATTTGTTGGATTTTCACTTTTCAAAAGTGTTTTTGATGGCATAGGGAAACTGTTAGAGCTATTAACTACTTCAATGTTAGTGCCCATGATGAAATGGAATTACTTTTAAAATCTGGATCCTAAAGAAATAAATTGAAGATATTTGGAAAATATAATCATGACATTGAAAATCTGGAGGACTGGTTTACAAAGGAGACTTTTCTAGAACCTCAAATCAACCCAATTCTTCATGAGCAGAATATATGAAATGATATCAACTCACCCAAATTTGGAATTTTTGTACAAAATATAAAGTTGTTTATATACTCTAAAAGAAAACCACTAAATAAACACTACAACATTGGATTGAATGTTTTTATCATGTCTAATTTATCTTCTGATTTTAAAGGAGCTTAGCAAAACATACTAAATAAGCCATGTGATTGTGCAAAATAAAAAGCCATAAGGTCGGTAAAAATTTCTCAAAAAACATTGTTCAAACAAAAAATATTTTTAATTAGTGGAGTGATTATGAAATTTAGCTCAGCAAGGAAGGAAGTCAAAAGGACATGAAGTGACTAAAAGACTGTAGAGATTAGATCGATAAAGTGAAAGAGGATGAATTGTTGTTGTAGGCAGTGGGCTAAAAACACCAAAAGTGATCACTGAAAAGTAGGATATTTGGAGGGATTTCAGCCTTGGCAAATGACAGTGTTAAATATATGGTAACAAGAATGAGTAGGGGGAGAATGTCAGAACATCAAGAAATAGAATCAACAGAACCAGTATTTGAGTGCCTGGATTTGAATGCTACTACTACCAATACCAGCTGTGGCCTGGGACAAGTTACATAACCTGTCTCAGTTTCCTCATCTGGTGAAATGAAGATAATGACAGTTTATTTCTCATAGTTGTTAGGATTGGATAATTTACTGCTTATGGAACCGTATAGCATGTGGTAAATAATACTGTTACCATGCTTATTACCATCATCATTCTTAGAATCTAGTACTGAATGAGTCTCAGCTTTTCCTTCAACATTTACTAAGCAACTGTCTTATGCCAGGTATTGTGCTAGTTCTCCTTTTTAAATTGTGTATGATTTTCTTTGGCTATTTTGTGTTTCAGGAACTTCAAGTTCAACCAAAATGATACTCTACAGCCTCCTTTGCCATGTATTCTCCTTGCTAACATAAATGCTGCATAGTAAGAATACAGACTAAGAAGGAAATAGGACAGGCCACGGCAGTGGTTGCTTGGATCTGGAAATTAGACATGCTCACTGTAACAAAAGAGACTTGGGGGGACAGATCCAACTATAGACTAGAAAGAGAATCTAGCTATGTTGCTGGTGTATGGTGGTATTCAAAATGTATGATTATAGGAGTTAGGAGGTAATAAATATGAAAAAATTAGCATCTGGTGCTTCAACGTGAAACATAAAATGTTCTGGCAGGCGAGTTAAACATAGGGCTACCATGTGGGATGTAGACTACCAAAATATAGACACTTGAGTATTGGAGAATAAGATGGGGATCCAGTTATTGAACATGAAGTATAATCAATGAAATAATGATCTTTATAAAGGACCAGACTCTTCCAGTCTGGGCTCTTGAGAGCAAACTTAGGCTATTTATTATTTATAAAAAATAAAAGAGCCTTAAGTTTGCATTGTCACCTGGCCAAATTCCACAGGCAGTTTCACCTTCTGGCTCAAAACACACATTTTCTTCATCTACATAAATGCCAACCATCCTGTTGCATAGGAGTGAGTGTGTTTTGCCGATTGTAGCTGAAAATCAGTGTAAGTTTGAGCGGACATGGGGAAAAACCAAAACAATGTGATGTGAATTTTGTTCTCTGTGTTTAGGCAAGCTACGACCTATATCTATGCCAGTGGAATATAATTGGGTGGGGGACTATGAAGATCCAAATAAGATGAAGAGAGATAGTAGAAGAGGTAAGTGTTCTAGAATCTTAGTGTAGGCTGGGTTGTTTGAACAATAAGCAAATTTAAATGCTCTTGAAATAGGATATTTTGGTTTCAATGGGAAACTGTTCATTCTGTCATCAACCTTATGGTACGCCAAAATCAATTTAGGCCAACAGTTGATTATCTTGAGCAGTTATTAAATAAATATCTTCCCTGAATCCTTCCTAAGGGATCCAGGGTAGATCAGTGTACTATAAAAAAATTACTATCTGTCATCTGAAATATAATATTTGTCAGGGAAAAAAGGTCAGAAGTGTGAAACTGCATTAAAAAGATTAAGTTCACCAAATGGGAATCATTTATGATCAGTCCCCAATGGTCCGCAATGCAATCTCTCTCATTACTTTTGTGTTGATCTCACCTTAAAGTAAGCATTGAAGCACATGGGTAAAAGGTTATGGAAACTAGGTCAATGACTACAGAAAACCATAAAGAAACGGGAAAACAAACAAACCCAAAACAACCAAACTGCTTTGCCTCCCCTCCCCCCATTCTGTTTGCTGTTCGGGGTTATCTTCTTTCTTGGGATGGGGTACTCTTGCGGTATCTGCCAGTTTTGATGTCCCCTTCTCTTGCTAGTGAGGTGAGCTATAGAGAGAGCAAGTGCAAGTCTTGTAGCCAATGTGATTTGACCACATGTGTACATGGTAGGCCTCATGGGTCATGCTGCTCTTTCCACTTTCCAAAGCTAAAAGCTGAGAGGTTGCAGATGAAAGCAAAACAAAGAAGGACAATTCATAGCACCTAAGCTCATATCTAAGCTTCCTTTCTAACACGTTTGACCTGTTTGTAATTTCTAACCAGTGTAGGAATTTACTTCATTAGTACCGAGATCCACAGACCACAAAGGGACACTCAAGCATGAATATCTGCTTCATTACACTAAATTTGTTGGTAAATACAAGAACATTGACCGATTGTTTTACATCTGTGTATTCACTTATTTTGCAAGCTCCAGTTTCTAATCTCATTTTTATACGATCCATTAGTGCGGTGAGGGGGCAGGGGATATGTCACCACTCAAACTGCTAGTGACATCTATAAAAAAGCCATATGAAGTACTAAGTGCTATTGATTTACACATGGCTTTTAAGAACTAAGTTTCCTAATGCTACCTAGCATGCCACATGTCATTGTTTGTCATCGGACTTTAGCAATAGCCCTCTAGGGAAGCTTTATGAGCCACACACTTAGAACTTATTACTCAAGCTCTACAGGTGATGCTGATGTGTTTGGTCTAGAACTAAAACCTAGGAAAATAGTCAACTGTCTATTTCGTATTCTATGATGTCACCACATTAAGATCCTTTTTATTGTCATTCCATAGATAGATATTTTATACATTAAATCAAATTGAATTTCTGAAATGTAATAGCACAATTTGGGGAAAGGACAAATGTGGGATATTTGCATATTAATATGGGTGTGTTTCTCTTTTTATATAGAGAACTCTCTACTTCGATATATGAGCAATGAAAAAATTGCTCAAGAAGAATACATGTTTCAGAGAAACAGCAAAAAAGACACAGGGAAGAAGTCAAAAAAGAAGGGGGATAAGAGTACTAGCCCGACTCACTACTCATTGCTACCTAGTCTACAAATGGATGCACTGAGACAAGACATCATGGGCACACCTGTGCCAGAGACCACACTCTACCATGTAAGTACATCCTCGCAGACTGTGGATTACAGCTTTTATTGCAAAATTGGTGAATTACTCTTTGGGGTAAATTACAGATTTTTCTATTGTCATATTGTCATGCAAGGTCCTAACTTAGTTAATATCCTTTCTAAAAGGATGAGTTCCTTTTTCAGCTTACATATTGAATGATTTCATATCTATTAGCAGGTTCAATCATCAGTGTGATAATGCATAGTGATTTGATTACTTAAGGTCAACATTAAATAGACTTATTAGAAAATATGATTTTACCAAAAATGGTCATCTTTTATGAGGCTGGTATAGTGTATGGTGTTAGAGAGAAAAATGAGAAGACATCATTATTTGGGAAAGAAGACATACCAGTGGTTCCATGTAATAGGAGGTGTGTGAGCTGTAGATAGAACATAGGAGAAGAGCCTTACCTGCTAGGGGAATGAGAAAGGGCTTCGTAATGGAGATCAGCTGAGTGAAGAGTAAAAGATGAGTAGCAGTATTTTAGGGGGAAGGCATGTGTGAGAGCATGGTATCTGTGGCTCAGAATTGCTGGTTCATTGAAAGACAGAAAAAGCACAGGAGTAAAGGACAATGGATGGATGTGAAGACATAGGCAGGGATTAGATCACAAATTTTATGATAAATCGAAGCTTCTTCCTGCTGTGATGAAGGCCATTAAAGAATTTTGGCTGGGGAGTTACATGTTTCCTTGACCCTTTAGACTATTGCAAAGTTTCAATTGAGAGACCAAAAGTAGGGCCGTTTATTAAGCGCAGGCCGTGTGGACACTGAGATCCTCATTTACAGTGACCCACAAATTCAAACCATGGTATACCTTGGTTGAAATGGAGTTTGCTGAGCCAATGGGAATATAAGACTCTTGATAAATGTGATAAAAAGCGATTTATCTATGGAAGTACATGATATATGAGTATTATATCAAGAAAACTACTGGGGAAAAAAACAGAAACCAAACTTGATCTATAGTTACCATGGGTGAAGGAGGAAGAGATTTTGCTTATAGGGCATTAAGTGTATTTTAATGATGGTTGAACAGTTTCGGGAGGGATATTGATAATGGTTGTACAAAATGAAGCGTACAATTAATGGCACTGAATTATACACATAGACGTTGTGGGGAGGAAATAATAACATGGCCTACAAGTTTTCAACTAATTTGAATAATATGTTCAATACCCAAAGTATCACAAAAAACAGTGTGTCACTGATGTCGAAGGTATATAGTATGAAGGATTTAATAACTTACCTTTAGTTTCTCTTTGGATTAACTCTCTTACATCATCTATTTACTTATTCCAAAGCACTGTCATAAACTACAATGTCGAGAAATAATTTTCTTTATTTGTATTGGATTAGGAAT